CAAAACACGCAAGCTCGATAAATTAAAAGAAGCCCACTCCAAAGTCTTTCCCAGACAGTTGAAAAATTCTCCACCCAAAGATGTTCCCAGTTACTTGAAATGTGCTGAGCATTTGCGGAGCATTTAAAATCCTAATGAATTTTATGAACTCTTGTCAGAGTCAGACTCACCGGCAAGCCTCCTCGCTCCGCTCCAGAAACTCGTCAACTGTCCAGATTTCATCGTCTGCTCGGCAAACAAATGTGAAAAGTTTTAAGCATCGTGCAATTAGAAGACAAGTGAATAAACTTGAGGAAATAAAGCATTCAACCTGCTGGTAAAATTTGCAGAGAGACATCCTGCATCCACATCAGCACGTGGAGAATGCGATTGGAGTAGATATCATGGACACGAGCGACCAGAACATCAAAATTCTCAATGGCCTGCTTGCAGCGCTCATAGAACTCCGTCCAGTTCTGGTTTGTCCACTGCATGGATGACAACAACTTAGTAAGATTAAACCATTGACCATTGTTGGAACAACTCACATTGATGGTGTGCAATCCTGGTTTCAGCATCGCCGTGAGACGCACCAGCTGCGGCAGGAACAAAGGACGAACCTCCAGCTTCACAGCTCTCACGGTGGATAGGAACATTTTAATCAGGCACTGCGAGGCAGGAAGAGATTAGCTGGCAGCACAATGCATATATTGTGTTCTATCCCACTCACATTTAGCGAGTCCTGTATGGTGATGAAGTACTGCTGACGACTCATCAGCGTGGCAGCCACAATGGGCAGCTCGATGTCCAGTTTGGCCAGCATCTTGGCCTCCCGAATGAGCAGCGGAATGGTGGGGTGCAGGTTGACGAACAGCTTATCGCCCTGGAGGCTCAGCAGTGGCTGCAGCAGGCAGGCATCGGCCACGCTGACATCCTGATCCAGCCAAATGGACACTATCTCGTCCTCGTACTCCTGGAGGACGCCCAGCACATTGTGGTACCGCACATCCAGATCCTTGGCCATGGGCAAGTTGCTCAGCACCGCGTGCTCCATCACCGCATCCATGAGCTCCGTGATGTGGAGACTCAGGGCACGACACCAGTGGATCCTTCCGGCAATTGGCGGAAAGTTCCTGGCCAGCGGCGGATCATCGCGCTGCTTGCGAAAGGTTTTCAGGATGCGGTCCACCTCCTTCTCCACGTAGCGCAGGATACGCGTGTACTTCTCGTCCATTTTGGTGAGTGGAATTTTCTCGCTCACCTTCTCGAATCGCACCAGGAATCGGATGCACTGCGGCGTCTCCCAAACGGTGTCGAAATCCTTTTCGATCAGCGTAGCAATGGTGTCCTTTAAGGAGTTCGTTTTGTGAATGAATCGCTCAAAATCGACGTTAAAGTCTGAGTTGCGGTGATCGAGGTAATCGTATTTCCTGGAAGTCACCTCCTTTTTGGCCTCCTCAAAGTGGTTGGAGGCATCCTCGAGGGCTTCGCCCAGAAGAAGTCCCTCCAGTCGACGCTCAAACAAATGATTGTAGTCGTCAATCAAGTTAAACATGCTAATGATCTTCGAGAGCCTCTCGCAAAACGTATCAAATTTTCCTGAAAGTGGCAGCAAGATAAGTTTCCAAAGTGATTTATAGTTAGCGCGATGATCTCACCGAATACAAAGTTCTCTGAAAATCCAAAAGGCGTCTGGTTCGGCAGAAAAGGCTGTTCCCTAACCGTGTAGTAGGTCTCGTGGTATATGTGATTCAGCTTGATGCAGTTGCTCAGCTTGGTGCGGATCACATTGCGATCCTGTGACCAGATAGTCTCCTTGCAGCGGCAAGTAATGTACGATTTGCATGTTTCGATCATTTGGTTGGTTATCTGGTGATGAAGTACAATATTTATTAGGATTCCCCCCCTTACGATTAGGATTAACCACAAATCGTACCTTAACCATCAGCGCGGATGTCCTTTCCGATGTATTGTAGAACTGGGAGACGCTATAGATGAGTCGCACCGTTTGCAGCAGGCTCAGGATGGACTCCTTCATGCTCACAGGATCGTCCAGGTAGAGCGAGTGGCAGCACGTCTCCATGGCCTGGATGAACTTGGAGTTGTCGCGCGCCTCGTTGTAGCAGAAGGTGATCTTCCGGTCCGTCTCCTTCCACTGCTTTATGATGCGGGAGCCGGCTAGGAAGAGGCAGTGCAGCGTGAACTGCACCTCCTTGTCCTGCAGATGGGCCAGCAGCTGCGAGAACTGGGCACCTCGCTTCTTCCAGTACTCCAACTCGTCCTGCGGCCCACTATGGTCGTTCTCCTTGCGCAGCTGCTCGCTCTCGCCAAGAATCTTCAGTATGCCCTTCGTCCAGTTGTTCACCCGCTCCTCCAGCTGCGAGCAAAAGTCTTGGTTCTTCGACATGTCCTTCACCTCCTCCACTGCATCGATTTTTTCGAACATGTCGCAGCCATCGGCAAACACATTGTGATGGTCACACACCTGCTCGCAAACGCGCAGCGCACTGCAGAAGGATCGCAATCCCGGCAGGAGCTGTCCCTTGATGAGCCCACAGCTCACGTCCTCCTCGTCGCCCTCCAGACTGGGAAAGGCCAGGGCCTGCATGAACACGAACTCCACAATCCGCTCGATGGAGGTCACTAGTCCTATGTTCTTGGCATCGATCACTCCGCAATACCTGCAAGAATCCAATAATCCTGGGTGATCATTCTACTCGGATACTGCTGCTTACTCACAAATCCTTCTGGAAACCCTCCTCGGGCAACTGCTTTGATGTATTCACCCGAAAGATATAGATACATACGCCCGTGAAGGCACAGGTCCAACCATCTGTAAGGAACAGCTTCTTGTGCTTTGGTGGTGGCATGCCACTTGGAGACGCGCCACCTGGCGGGTACAAACAAACATAGACACGGTTTCATATGGAAATTAGGACTTACCCTGCGGGGTCTTGGAGCTACTGGAAGCTACGCCGGATCTGGAGGGACCCGGCTTATTTGGATCGGACACTGGCGTCGGCTCCGGGTCATCCGTCTCCTGGTAGAACCACAGCAGCTTGTTCTTCATATTGGGCAGGAACAGCTGATTGATCTCATCGAGCTGGCAATGGGAACCACAAAGAGTTAAGATACCAAGTGGCAAGTGATGCGCCTACCATGTCCCCTTCGAATATGTAGTCCATGAGCTGATGCCTGGGCAGCTGCGTGGCATCGATCAGCAGCTGGAAGGTGAACTCCAGCCGGGGATCCATCTCCCCACGTCGGGCCTTTCGCTCGCATTCTTCGCGCCTCCGCTGCGCTTCGTCGGGGTCCATTTTTCAAAAGTTTTACGTTATATTCGATTCCGTGTTGTCAGGAGCGACATTCGCGAAACCGTTTGGTTTCCGGAAAATAGTTTAAGGATCAAAATTTTGCAGTGCGAAGTGGTGGTAATATTTTTGGTTGTACAAAAAAAAAGGGTATTGTTGGTTTCATGTTGGAAAACAATTTGGTGTTTACAAAATGTTCGGTTTTCAAAATTCAAAAATGAAAGAGACCAAAAGTTCGTTAGTTTCAAAAAATGGCACATAGAAAACTTAGTAAAAATTCGATTCTACGTTCAAAAATCTACAACAACATTACCCATATAGCAGGACAATAAAATACCAAAAGTAATGCAAAAATCAAAAGTGGTGACCTCTAAATGCTATACAGTATAAGTTGAAAGGTGATTTCGTAACAATTTACTAGGTTTTCTCTTTGCAGCAACGGAAGTGAAGTTCTTTACAGTTGCATTTATGTGGATTTAGGGTAACTCAGCTAAAAAGAAATGAATATAGGTGTATTAGGAAGTTATTACATGGGCCTCAACTACGAGCGATTTACACTCGCAAATGGCAGGTTATGCGATTACGTAATCAGTCAAAGGGCTTCTAGGGAAATCTAGGTTACTTTTGTATAAAATCTAAGGCAACAACATAGGGTTATATGGGCTATGTAGCACGACTAGCACTCAATACGTCTAGTAATTAGTGATGATTAGGGATTTGCACCTGCAAAATGTCGCCCTGGTCCTCCTCCTCCTCTTCATCATCACTACTGCCCCCTTCGGCTCGCATGGCCAGAACATGCTCCACCAACTTCTTCTTTTGCACGAACATCTCGCCAAAACTCTAAGCAAAAAGCAAATTCACCAAAAAGCACGGATAGTCGGGATTTCTCCTATTCAAAAATCATTATAGATTTACTGCGTTTTTGGATTTTGGTCTGCGTTGCACAACTATTTGCCTCTGTGGCTTTGAATAAGATGAAAATCCTATCGAATAAACACTTGAAATACGCTGCAAGTAGCCAAGGCAACCGAAATTGGAAGTCAAATTAAGTTTTATGTTGCCAGGGCAACATAACTGGGAAGTTTCGTCGATCGGATTTATTATTAGGAACTAGCTATTCACCTGTTGATCACCTGAAAGCTTATCATTCGAAATTTGCACCAAGTTACCAGGGCAACAAAAGTTTCGTTGATGGGCTTGTATGTTCCACCTGTTAACCACCTGTAAACCACCTGTGATCCACCTGTTAGCCACCTGTTATCCACCAGTTAGGTACCTGAAACACCTGAAACCACCAACCCAACAAACACTTCAAACAAACTCCATATTACCAAGGAAACATAACTTGGAGGTAAAAGAACAATACATGATACTCACCTGTTAGTCACCTGCTATTCACTTTCGCCGCAGCTAACGGCAATCAAATCTATAAAATGTAATCTTAACAGAAAACTAAATATAATCGCATTGAGAACTCAAAGCTGAAGCTATTCAATTTTTTTACAGATTGTTATAGAGATTGTTACCATCAACTTACTCACTTCCCTATCAATAATCCGAGCACAATGCACATTCTTTATTCCTACGAGCATTTTACTGATAAGGGTTTTATATCTCTTCATTATTGCTCTCTTGATTGCTAATTTTATTAGGATGCTGCCAGCTTGCGTTTGCGATTTGTATCAGTGCGATTTATAAGTTCATACAGAGAAGTGTTTACATAAAATACGCATATGTTCTCTGGGTTACCGAAGATGATGTCCCTCATGCTGTTGTGGGTCATCGTAGCTGCGATTCTATCGGAGTGCGAGGCCAGAAGCGTTGTGGATCGGAGTGATTGTTCCGAGAGCGATGGTGGCTCGGCCAATGAACCTAGGGCAGAGTCCCATCTGCAGGAATATGCGGATTTCATGAAATCCTACATGAACCAAAGTGTAGCGCCCTGCGAGAATTTCTACGAGTACGCGTGTGGAAATTATCGGAACGTTAAGCCGGATCGGTACTCCCTGAGTAGTAGAAGCAACCTTGGCGACGTGGCCTACACACTGATCGACAGCACGGATCAACTGGTGGGCAGAATGGATCTGGCGGAGGCACTCAACGTGTCCAGCGAACTGGCGGTGGCCCAGCGGTTCTACAACGCTTGTCTGGAAGCCGAGCTCCATCCTTTCAATGCGGCGGATCCCGCTTACTTGAGTCTAATTCGATCCATCGGAGGATTTCCCGCTGTGGATGGCGTCGCCTGGAATGCCTCCAACTTCAACTGGATCAACATGAGTGCCCACCTGACCAACTATGGAGCCAATGGTCTGATCCGCGAAGCGATACATTTAATATATCCCTTTGAGCCCTACACTAAACTGCCCAACCTGGGCTTCGACCACATCATCGTCCAGGAGGAAAACATTTCCAGCAATACCACTCGCGCCTTTCGCCTGAACGAAGACCGAATGCGCGGATATCTGATGGCGTTCGGATTGCCGGAGGACAGGATAAGAGAAGCAATCGCTGGGGTCTTTGCCTTCTGGCGGGACGTACTCGCGATCCCGCCCCAGTGCGAAGTGTTTGGTCCGTACCGAATTGAGCGAGCGTTTCCCCAGTCGGAGTACTACTATGACATCTCATGGAGTGGACTCCACTCCTCTAACAAGCTATTTTGCGACTTTTACTACGTGGAGCTGGACATGGTATGTGCCCGGCATCGCGAGGCTGTGGCCAATTACCTGGCCATGCAGCTGCTCTATAGATTGGATCCCAAACTGAAGGCGCGCAAGTACCAAAGGGACTACTGCGCGGCTACGCTTTATCAATCCATGAAGTTTCTATTCAACAAACTCTATATGGCCGTGGGTATCGAATACGTATGATCCGAAAACCAAATGAACTAAATCTTTTTGTGTTGCAGAATAACTTCAGTGAGGAGAGGAGGCTGGAGATATCGGAAATTGTGCAGGAACTGCGAAACAGTCTGCGAAAGACGCTGGAGGATGCCGAGTGGCTGGATGCGGAGAGTCGGGCGAGGGCACTGCTAAAGGAGTCCAGAATTCTGACACGCGTAGGTTCGTGCCAGGATGACGCACTTTCGGATCGATTAATCCGAGAAATCGGCAGTCTGAAGATCATCGATGATAGCTATGCGCGGACCAACATTAATTTGCAGCACCTAGTTGTAGAAGTCAACCGGTTCAGCAGTCAGCACTATCAGGAACTGGCCAATGATACCAAGCCCCAGAAGCTCCTCACAGGATTGCAGGTGGGAGCGGGCTACTACGTACCGGACAACTCCATCAATGTGATGGCTGGCTTGGTGGAACCTCCGATATACCACCGAAACCTGCCGCTCTCCCTGAAATTCGGCACCTTGGGCTTTATCGTGGGTCACGAACTCGTTCACGGCTTCGATACCTCCAGCTCCAATTTCAACGACAACGGTCAGTTGGAGTCCTGGTTGTCGGAAATTTCGCAACTAGTATTGGAGGCTCGCGCCGAGTGCTACATGGACCACTATGGCAAGTACCTGGTACCGGAGATCAAGCGGCGTATCAACGGAAAAACTACACTGGACGAGAATGTTGCAGACAACAGCGGACTAAGACAGGCCTTGACGGCCTACCGCAACCACAAGAAGCAGCTGCTGGAGCATCCTGGCCAGGAGAGGATCAGCGACGCAATGCCGGGCCTCGACCTTTCACCGGAACAGCTGTTCTTCCTGGGATATGCTCAGCTATTTTGTTCCCATTACGAGGAGGAGCACTACTGGAAGGATCTCAGCAATGAGCACACCTTCGACCAATTTCGGGTCCTGGGCGTTATGTCCAACAGCGAGGACTTCTTCCAGGCCTACAACTGCTCCGTGGGCAGTGGCATGCGTCCAGTGGCCAAAACGTGCCGACTTTGGTAGCTCATAGAATTATTAATGAATTATTGTTGTTATCAATTGGAAAATACGATAAATTAAACATTCTTTGAAACAAATGCATTTTTTAGTTTAAATTATTTGAATACCTTTTACCGACACAATTCTACAAATTAACTCTACACATAATGGCTAACATAAATGGTTTGAGTGCAGTCTGTACGTCTATCGAAGTTTCGCACCCCGGAGCACCATTCAAATTTAGGCACATCACCGCAGCGCGCTCGGCCACTCTGTTTCTCCTGACAATTTTGTGCATGACAATTTTGTTCAACTGAAACTGCCTTTTTTTTGTAACGAAAACAGGCTGTCAGTCAGAAGTGATCCGGCTCCGTAAAGCATAAACCAACGATTCGCAGCAGCAACATAATGTCGGCAGCAGCAGGGTGAGTCCACAGCCGGGTATCTTGCCCCTTAATGCAAGCCGGACCATCTTTTTGTGGCTTCTTTGTGCGTCGCGTGCTTTGTCGCTACGGCGGCGTCCATTTTCGAACTCCCGGCCATGAAAAACACCTAAAATTCGATCGAATGCACCATATTCTCGCGACTATCCGCTTGCCCAAGCGTTGGCCCAACGGTGGGCGTGTCCTACGCGCATCTGCATTGCGAACTAATTTGTGGAACTAATCGGATGGTCCAGTCTTTGAGGTTATGTTTTCGGCTGGCTCTAATGCCGTGGATTTTCGGCATGAACCTTTGGCCTGGGCTTATGGTTTATGCAAATGGTCAGTTCTGCTATTTGCATAATTCGTGCACCCGGTTCCAGAAAGTCCGTTGCGAGTTGCCATGACACCGGAAGTCGCACAACGCACCACCCGACACCGTCAATAGCTCTTATTTATGTTTACCCAACTTGATCCTCTTTTGCAGCTCGATTCCGCCTCCAGTTTCCTGGGCCCAGCGCAATGACTTGGTCTACGTCATTATTGATGTGGAGTGCAAGGACATCGAACACAAGTAGGTTCCCCATATTTACTATGCCCATGCCCCCGGCACATCCTAATCGCACTCTATTCCAAAACAGAGTTACGGAAAACAGCTTCACCTTCAAGGGCGTAAACGTGCTGGATGCGTCGAAGAAATACGAGGTCACACTGAACTTCCTTCACGAGGTGGATCCCGAGAAGGTGACCAGCAAGAACATTGGCCGCTGCCTGGAATTCACAATACCCAAGAAGGCAGCCGGACCGTACTGGTCATCCCTGACTACGGACAAGACCAAGTTGCATTTCCTAAAGGCCAACTTTGCCAAGTGGCGCGATGAGTCCGACGACGAGGAGGGTAAGTTGCATCATCCGTAAGATCTCATCCAGGCAACCCCATTCATGCAAACACAATTTGCAGGTGATCAAAAAGACAACGGCATGTTTGGCAATTTCCTTAACAGCCCTGGTGGCGACTGGAACAACAAGTTCGACGACTTCAACGTCGATGACGAGGAGGAGGACTCAGATGACAACATCCCCAGTCTGTCCCAGAACGACGAGGATGATGAGGAGGGCGGCGAGGGTGATAAGGAGAAGAAGCCAGCTGCCTAGACGGTCGCTCAGATGGTGTCTAGCAATTTGGCGTAGTCGTAGCGTTAGCCGTGGCTCTTATACCATAAGTCAGCACACGATCACAACACTCACTCCTCACATACACACCAGAAAACAAAAAGAAGATACACTCTATCACTCATAAGAACATCCACAAACGCATGCGTACATAAAACACTATTCCAATCAAAGAAAACCACATTTAATATAGCTGAATATAATGCGTATTCAGAGGAGAGATGTTAACAAAAAGCAACACAAGGAACAAGATGATTTGGCGCCGACAAGGGAAACCATAAGTTTTACGCTAGAATTTAACAACCAGAGGAAAGCTACAACCAATTTATTGCAAAAATCAGTTTGCAGTTTATTATTTTTGTTTCCTGTAAATAAAGGAAATTAACAATAAAAAAATGGAAAACCTAAACTCGGCTTTTTATTTGCAATATTAAAGAATTTTAGAACATGTTCTAGAACTTTCTGTACTGATAGATCCGGATTGCGGAGTCCGGAAGCCCAGCCTTTGTATAGTTAACTGTCAAATGGAATCAATGGCGATTTAACAAAGAAAATATAGGTAGTTGGTAAAATTATTTTTAGGGATATCCCCTAATATTTGGTTTTAAAGATTATGTAGGAATTTTTTTCTTTAAATTTTGCGCCCACTCAGGTTCATTTTGTTATGTTGGCAACACTGTTGCTGTGACAACGCGGGAAAGAAGAAGCAGAATTGAAATGCCAAGCAAACAAACAGTTTTCACTCGAAATAAAGGACTTGCTTGCCAAGCGATAGAACGAAAAAGCAAGGCAAAAGATTCTCCTCAAAAGAAATTATGAAACCCGCTGCGATTCCGGCTAGCGAGCGGCGTCTGGCCTTCGTGGCCGAGTGGTACCATGCAGAGGCTGGAATCATTCGCACCTTCCTGATTACATACTATGTTTCCGACAAGGCGGTGGAAGTGGTGAGGATTGATAGCTTATAGATCAATGAAACACATTTATCTCCATGCATTTCCCCAGTTCGACCAGCGCAACAAGCGCACATTCCTCCGACGCACCAAGATCCCGGAGCTAACCCAGCGCGACTTCTTCGTTGGCTCCAAGATCAATGTCTTCGGCCGACAGTTTGACATTGTCGATTATGCTGATGACACTACGCGGACCAACCTGGCCAAATACCGCAAGAAGTAGGTTAGATCTTCGAGAGCAATCTACTCACTAATCTCTTATTCCTATCCCACTCAGAGGCTTCGTTCTGCTCAAGAACAATATGTGGACGAAGCACCTGGGCAAGTTCCTGAAGACGCTGATCGACAACAAGATTAACGTAAACCAGGGATCAATGGTCCAGTTCTCTCCCAAAATGGTAACTCAGTTTCTGTCCGGCAAGGACAAGACGGATGTCTCCTCTTCGTGAGTAAAGCTGGAATGCCAAGAAACACATGTGATTACATGTAATCTGCTAAATTTCAGAGTCCTAATGAACGAGCTGTTGGCTGGTCCGGCCATAAGCCTGGAGCTGATTGGCGACAACGTCGTGGACACCATCAAGTCCTGCGCCCTGTACAAGAGCACAGAGGCGGAAGCTCCCAGTGTGAAACTGTCGCCAAGTTTGGAAGAACTGTTTGAAAGTGAGGAGATCCGTTATGGATTTTACTACTCTGATAACGACGACGACGTGGACATGGACCTAAAGTTCTTTTTTGAGGCGAGGCACAGCATAATTAAAGAATGTGTATTTAAGAACACAACGCTTGCCATCATTAAGCCGCACAGCATCAAGGATGGTCTCTTGGGAGACATCATTTCCGAAATCCTGTCCAATGGCTTTCGACTAACAGCCATGCGCATGATTCTAATGGCGCGAATCAACTGCGAGGAGTTTTACGAAGTCTATCGCGGCGTGCTGCCAGAGTATATACCTATGGTTGCGCAGTTAGCCAGTGGGGTATGTATGTGCATGGAGATTGCTTGCGTCGATCCCGAAAAGAGAGCTGCTCAAGAGTTCCGCAACTTCTGCGGTCCCATGGATCCGGAGATCGCCAAACTACTGCGGCCTCACACGCTGCGCGCCAAGTTCGGCAAGTCCAAGGTGCAGAACGCCGTCCACTGCACCGATCTGCCGGATGACTCGAACCTGGAGCTGCAGTATATGTTTAAGATAATCGATTGACCTTAGTTTAGATTTTATTTGTTTGCAGTTAAATGCATGTTTGCCTGTGTGCGTTTATCAATAAATTACAAGTGCAATGGAAATACTAGAGCATAGAACCTCCTCCTAGATGCTCCCGCTGCGACTGGTGCTGGGCAGATCCCGGTCCTCGGCTTCACTGTCCATCCTCACGTACAGCCCTCCCTTGCGCTCCTGAAGAGTGTAATCGAAGGCCAGAAGGGCATAGAGGATGATGCAAACCAGCATTATCACCGCGTAGAAGAAGTACTCGGCCATCTGTGAGCTTAGCATACCAAGCTCGGTGACCAAAACCACGATGAGATTGCCGAAAGCATTATTTAGGAACCAGGCAGCCGTGACCACCGACTTCATAGAGGTTGGCGCTTGGGTGAAGGCGAACTGGAGACCCGGAATGGAAAGTAGAAGTTCGCCCATCATAAGCAGCAGGAACTGCGGCAGTTGCCAGGCTATGTTCACTGTTTGGAGCGGGGAATTCTTTGAATATGCCGGATTAATCAACGACCAGGAGAAGTATATCATTGTTTTACCTTACCTTTATTCGTTCCTGCAAAGCTCCCGCACAGAAAAAGGCGCCGGCGGAGAAAATCCCACCCACAGTCACACTGTGGAGAGGCTGGAGCTCCCAGTTGAAGTAGCGGCGCAGCAAAGGCACTGTTATATACTGCCACAGCGGGATGAGCAGGAACAGGAAGATGGGGCCTACGGCCTTGGCCTGATCCGGTTGGATGGTCACGCCCATTACTGTGGTATTCATCTGGGTGGCCTGGAATGTCCAGCTGGAGTCCTGTTGCGCCAGCAGTGCAAAGTAGAAGGGCAGTGGGATAAACAGCTTGGATATCTAAGCAAAACGAAGTTCTTAATCTGAAATAACCTTTATTGTAACACACAACTAACCCTCAAAACTCTGGACACATCATTGACGAACCCCATGTCGTAAGCTCCAACTGCATTGTGCAGCCAGTAGTTGGATCGCTTTGGGGACTTGCGACGTCGCCACTTCTCCACAAGAGCGGTCTTTATGCAGCCGCAGAACTTGAAGAGTATGTTATCATCGGACAGCTTTTCGGACTTGTAGAAGCATTTTCCAACCAGGAAGATAACTAATACCACAGGTATGCATAAATTAAATAAAAATAATGATTGAAAACTGATCGTTACTTACACCAGGCCATCATAAAGGCGGCGCCAAGGGTGCCGAATACGGCTGGATAGCATTCCGCCTTGTCAAAGCACTGCGTATTAGCTCTAACCAGCGGCGGAAGGATCTTACTCAGGAAAATTCCGAAATAGTAGACGAAATAGTAGAAGGAGAAGTACTCG